ATAGCTGCGCGACAAGGCGCGACAAGGGGTATGTAACAAGCCCCGCGTTTCAAGGGTATGTAACAGAGGCTTGTCCGCGCGGGCCATCGGAGAAACCCCCAAGGCGCGTCTATGATGGAAGCGCTGCTAGTCGCTAGCAGCACCCGAGACCGCCTCCAGCTGGGCAACCCCAGCAATCACCGTGCAGGAAACTAAGACTGGACCTAAAGCTGACGGATGCTGACGGTGCAAATTCAAATTCAAGGCTTAATGCTAGGATACCAGCAGCATCCAGCAGCACCAGAGGTGCGTGCAATCATTTGAAAAGGGGAGTGGCATCATCTCGTAGTCGCCGTATAGGGTACCGGCAAAGCGGAAACGAGCAAAGTTCAGCAGCGGTAATCTAAGAGTGACATGCTTGGGGATCGCTCCTAGTCACGATTTTGCCATGTCATTTTTCGTAGTCCGCAGTATTTAAAGCTGAGGCAAGGGCAGCTGTGTAGCCTGCATCGGGCGTTCAGGAGCATTCTATCAGGTTAAGAAACGGCCACCCACTTCCTCTTAGGATGGAGGATCGAAAAGAGTTCGCATGCTCTCTGGTTTGATGGCATTGTTCGGCACGCTGTTTCCAACATGATTCACCGTTCGATTGGCCTTTCATGCAAGCAATCATTGGAGAATTCCATTGTTCTAACGGATCACGGAATCAAGCCATCGCGTGGCCAGTAGCCAGCACTCGTACGCAGTGGGTTCCACGATGTTCCACGTGTAGAGCCGCTTGGCTGCGGGGACGGGACAACGGCAGATGAGTGGCTCGAGGGGGTGAACTCGCCAACGTGTTCTTGGCTTTCAAGTTTTTCGATGTGTGCCGGTGTTTCTCAGACATTGTCAGCTATCCAACGGGATGATCAGACCTACCTCGCAGCATGGATTTGACAAGCTTGAAGGCAAAGAGGGCGTCACAAGTCAGCCTTACGCATCACCATTTTACTGCGGAAATGCTGACCTCATGGTTCGTCGATGCTTCTAGCCAGCACAGGCCAGCTTTGATTTGAGCAGGTGAAGGTGGAGTGCTGCGAAAAGACAGGTGGAGGAGATTGCCAGCAGCAAGCCTATCTTCTCGAAAGCAGTGGCCGGTTGCAGGATGCAAGCTTCGGCTCTGCATGCTCGGTTGCCATGCTAAGGATGGTCCACTGGAGTCATTTCTGGAGATGGACCGTAGAAGTCTCTGAACAGCCGTTTTGACCACCACTTGCTGGCATTTGCATGCTGTCCCCAGCAGGAAGCTGCTACCACGGATGCCTGCCGGCAAGGTCCTGGTTTCTGACTCGGAGCTCTCTCATCATCAGCTGTCTTGCCTGCGTGCTTTTGCTTCATGTTTCGGATGCGTGCTGTCATGTCAATCGTAATTTGAATCAAACCTCAAAGCTTCAGGTGGACGACGCGCGGCAGCATCTTGGGCAGACGACAATGTCTGTTTGCTCAGCTTCTGACTGGATGAAAAGAAACACAAATTTCCCATTTCCACCAGGTTGGCAAAAGGCGGAAGAGGCCGCTGTCTGCTTCACCAAGCAGGCTGTGATCATGGGCTAGCTCACCTGGCCTTGTCTGTCTTCATTTGTGTCTGGCTCCTTCGGGTCGCTGCAGGGCCATCAAGATTTCAAATGTTCCACCATCAGTGTCATTGAAGCACCTCCGGGATGCTCGGCCAATCTGTTCCTTTCAAAATTCGGATCGTCTCCTGCAACGAGCTGCTGAGGAGCTTTTTCAAAAAGGAGCTGGCCAGGCATGGCTTTGATCGTGTAGACGCTAGCAGGACTGAGAGTTCTTCCCCTTTTATGTGAGGTCGTGGATGGTGCTCAAGGAGAGACCGAACCTCAGCAACAGGGGATCGTTGCACACCTGATGTTGGTCGGTGGTGGCTTCGAGAAGAAATTCAGGTAAACATCGTTCGTTTGGTAGCTCTTCGGTTTCTTTGTCCGTGTATCGTCAGTGGAGATCACGATACGTTCAGTCAACATAGGTCAGACTTTGACTTAGCCATTGTCGACGTAAGCGTCCAAGGGTCCTTGTTGACAAACAGTGCAGTCTGAAACTGCAAGGTTTTCCGGATCCTGTTTCTAGGCTTCGGGGTGGCTAAGTTGCGTTACGGGCCACTTCAAGATGCAAGGTTAAAGGCAGGAAGCTTTCAAGCTGCAGACTCAGCGAAAACAAGCCAAAGACCTATGGCCTCTTCGGACACCTGAAAACGTGTAACGCAGTGAAAGGGTAAAGCTTGAAGCCCCAAGCACAAGCCAGAAGCGCTGGAAGCTTGATGATATATATATATATACATACATGTGACCCTTTCATGTTTGAAATTCCTTGAATGCCCAAACACGCACGGCGTGTTTTTCTTTACTAGTACTGACAAACCATCAGTTCCAGCACCAATTTCAGCGGCATTTCTGTTCTTTCCAGTTGTAAAACGCCGGCTGTAGTAGCACTGGTTTCAGTGGTGCCATGCGGCGCCAATGCCGTATAACGCGTCTTGCGTGAGGCACGGAGATGCCTGGCTGAAGTTTCAGCGCAGTCATGAGGCTGAGAAGGTGCGCCGCTCCTTGCCGCTCCTGATTGCTTGCTTTAAGTCAAGCCGAGTCAAGCCCTTGCTGGTAGGGGATGCGCAAGTAATTATGCATAGTATGCCATATCATTGCAACAACATCCACCCCACCAAGAAATACGACGATCGTAACCGGCCTTGACTCTAGCTATTCGGGCTCATAATGCTTGATGGATCTTGATGGCACCCAGACTTTCAGCTGAAATCAATCTGGCTGTGGTGTTTGCGAAGCAGCTCGAAGGAATGATTGCTCGTCTGTTGTTGGGGAAGATCGGCAAGAGCTACTGTAGCAGCAAATAAATGCTTGCATTGTGACGTATTTTTGAATGCAATGAGATTCGTGCAACACCAACCTTTCTTGGGGCAAGCCTAAGGGACTTACAGCCTGTGCTGCCTTGTGCTTGTTGGAAAGTTTAAAAGAAGACCTGGCTGACCTCTTGATTGAAAAGGCAGTTGAACTCTTCAGTGACGGGACGCTGGACGGCAGAACTATCAAGGCACGCAGTCACACAGACTAGTCTCAGCTCCTCGCGATGCGCAGGTGGCGGTCGTAAGCTTCCTCAACTGCTGTTGTGATGTCCTGCAATGAGACTGCTGGCAGGTTGAGCTGCAATGCCATCGAAGTTTGGCGAAGACGCCCAATGCAGAAATCCACAAAGCTGATGTCGCAGCTTTCGCTGTTTCCCCCCTTGCAGGTTCCTGTAAGCGCTTTATGGTTATGCGGTTCTGAAACTGAAAACATTGTGTCGTGGTTTGTACGACCTCATAAAGAAAGTCCTGCTTTGCTTTCTGCTTCGACCATGCATTGTTCAAGCGCAAGCCCTGAATTCCGAATCTGGGGATAGGGATCAACTGCGTGGAGTGTCCTCTAATTTTGGTCCGTAGTCCAGCAGGGGTGGAACCTCCTCGCATTCTGGCTTGAAATTGAGCTAATGCGTGGAGCGTCGTCGAACTGTAAGACCAAATCCAGCTCTCAGAAGGAGATCGTGGAGCAACGTCAGAAACATCCCCATCGAAGCTCAATTTATGCTGTCATTTCTGCATTTCATTTCTCATGACAAGTCGTAATATGTACTTGGCTCGTATGCGACTTTCAGCGTTGTCTGAGGAACCCCTGGCATAACACTTGGCTGGTACAAGCTATGTCAACGAACATCTCAGACACATGATTCCTTCATTTGGCTCAACCGTCCGCCAGCACCAGCGCAACTCTCCGTGCGATGCTTGCTGCCGCCGCAGAGAATACCGATACACCTGGTTGTTCTTGTTGCGGCCAGGCACACATGGCCGCGCCATGGCTGCCAAACGCCAGCTTTTGAACCCCCTGGCAACGACTACAGAATTTGCTGTTCGGACGCAAGCGAAGTCAGCACAAGTTGGCCCAAAAAAAGTGCCAAAAAGGGAACCTACACCTCGGACCCTTCCGCAACATAGAAATTCGGGAAAGCCACGCATGCGCCCTGAACATGTAGCGTGACAAGTGAGATGCGAACTTCCTTCTGCCGCCACTACTACTATTACTGCTGCTGCTGCTACTACTACTACTACTACTATTACTACTACTACTACTACTACTACTCCTACTACTCGTAGTACTACTACTACTACTACTACTACCACCAGCACCACCACCACGACTACTATTACTGCTTCTACTTCAACGTTTACTATTAACTGTTAACTAGTATTTCTGCTGCTGCTTCTTCTACTACTACTACTACTGCTTCTACTTCTATGTCCACTGTTAACTGCTATTTTTGCTGCTGCTGCTGCTGCTGCTGCTACTATTACTCCTAGTACTACTACTACTACTACTACTATCGCCGCCACCGCCACCACCACCACCACCACCACTACCAACAACAACAACAACAACAAAAACAATAACAACAACAAGAAACAACAACAACAGCAGCAGCAGCAGCAACAACAACAACATGAACAAATTTTCACAACACTAGTGCATCAACTTGCCATAGCCAGGTTCGAGATAGAGGTCGAGGAAAACGTAGTCTGCTTCTGTACCACTGGGAGGCTTGCACATGGATTCGGGTTAAATTCAACCAAGCAGGGGGATCAAGATGTTGGAGTTTCGATTCACAATCCAGTCAACTCTGTTTGCAACATAATTGATCAAACCGCAAATGGAAAACATGTCCGCAAATGGTTGCACATGCCCAAAATGAAATGACATGTCTCAACTGCATGTTTCAAATGCAACTGCAAATTGGTCAAGCAAGCTTGGCAACATGTCTGGTTGCTGGCTAGCAACATGTGTGATTGCAAAGCACTCTGATTCAAACGCCTGTCTGTATGTTGGAGCTCCAAGTCGCAATCTGAATGTCAGCACTTTCTAGAATAGTAGTAACTACATTGCACTAGTCGAGAAGCAACAATCCGGAACTGTACGGCATAGCAATAGATGTGAACATATCACTCCTCAGCAGGTACACGGAGGTGATCAATCTCCGCTTCCCCCATGGTGGATAGCTTCGTTGGCACAGGTACCACAATGGGCCTGTGCCCCCTGCCTGTGTAAACTGTTGACTTGTAAACTGTCAACTTGCTACAGCTTGTGAGGAGCAAGAAGACGAGTCCTCGGACTACCCTTAGGTTTCGGTCAGGGTTTAACAACAACAAAAACCCCATAAAGGGGCCAACAATACAGCACTAGCACCGACATGTGTCATTCAAGGGTAATCACCTGCGCAAACCGACATAGCTTGGTATGAAACGCACTACGTCTCCTGGCTTGTTGCCAGAGCTGAAAAGCCTGAGTCATCACGCGATAACGGCTTCTGTGCATAACACGTTCCAAAACTGGCATCAGTTTACGAAGGCCATCATGAATATGCTGAGCAAACTCTCCAGGGCTATCATCAGAACTACTGGCGTCAAGGCAGTGAGGTTCCACTCTCATACACTTCCTGCGAAATCGGCGAAAACATCCGTGCGATTGTCGTTGTTGCACTTCACGATCAACGGCTTGCTGGAGCTCAGTCAATTGAACATCTGACATGGCATGGAGCTGAGAAGTCCACTGTATAAGGAGTCACATGAGCCACCCGTTTTTCAAATCTGGGCCCCACATACACCCACCTGACATCAAGCATATGTTCAGCATGCTCCCAGTAGATATTTGTGCACAACTCCTGCCATCCAATGGAACATTGGCTTCCGCATCTGCATGGCATGTGGCCATGTAGTGTTGAAAGCTTCCAAATGCAATCATGGCACAGCCATGCATCTATGGGGGGTGGATGCTTGTTTGGTCTTTGGTTCGGCCCTGGATGCTTCACAACATGGACGCAAAACTGACCAACTCAATGATGAGCAAGCTGCTCGCGATTTCAGCATAGATGCAAAGGGAAAGGATACGCTCGAACATGGACATTGTTATCCTTTTGGCATGGATGCCCTGGGAAAGGATGCACTCGAAGATGAACGTTATAGCACTGGGTACTTGAGCCACGGCGTTTAGGGCTTTAGGCTTTAGGGTTGAGGGTGTTTGGAGCTTAAGGCCAGTTGGCTGAAATTTTCAAGAGCGAACATGTTGAGAGCTGAAGTCCAGAGCATACTATCGCTCATCAAGTCAGATGCTAGCATATAAGCAATCCGTGGGCAGAAGATCAGAGCCCCACACCATCACACCTTGCCTCGAATACAAAAGAAGCTTACTTTCCTCACTCAACAATGACTGTGAAACTCTGTTGCCATGAGGGCCATTGCTATATGATAGATTACACTTGGATAAATCATGATTCTCCAACAGAACCACCCTCCAGTACATTGTGATCGGACGGTAATTGCCATTGCATTCAACCTGCTGCTGCTGCTGCTACTGCGGCGGCTGTTGCTGCTGCTGCTGTTGCAACTACTAACACAACTGACTATGGAATATTTCTGAGGATTGTTGCAAAGTAGTGGAACCCTTGATCTCAACGGCGCTTGCCTTTTCATCCACACCTCATCTGAGGCCCGGCTACCCAAGTACGTACAATAACTCCCCCCCCTCCCCAAACGTCAACTGCAGGACTCTGCACACCTGACATATCCAATGATTGGGGTCACAACCATTTATGGGTTACAACCTAAACCTTAAGTCCTAAACACTGAACCCAACTATATGGGCCAGTACGCCCTAAACATATTTGGGGTCTGGAAATGTAACACTGAAAATCAAACGTTTCCAAGACTGGAGTACCAAAAGCACGAAACTCCAGGTGAGTCTGGGACTTTTTCAGCACAACATTCGAGCTTCAAGAATGCACATGATCACTGCGGCACCTACCTGGCTGAGATGCATCCCGTTGCCCAGGAGCTGGCACGCCTCACGCATAGCGTAATCCTTTGGCAGATCCCGCAGAGATTTCCCAACCACGCCAAGCCAGCGCGAATCCGACAGCAGAGCAGGCAAGCCTTGAACCCCCATGAGCTCGACAGGAAGGAGTAGCCTGTCAGCAGAAAACGAGTATACTTTCGAGTTGCGAATGATTGTAGGGATGCAGTGGCTGACGTTTCCAAATTTGACCGTCTGCGCAATATCAGCAAACTCATCACAGCGCGCAGACCGCCCCTTTCCAACCAGCTCCTGACGAAAGGCTTCCATACGGCCTTTATCAGCCACATCCATCACCATCTTGCAGAGATGCGGTCTGCCATCAGCACGTGGAGGGATGCCTCGTGCATCTGCCATGTCCTGCAGAAACTTCACCTGATCGTCAGCGGAGCTCTGTAGAAAGACACTGCCAGTAACCTCCAGCGTGCAAAACGCCAGCTCAGCCAACGAGTCGAGAGTGAATGACAAGTCTGTTTCACCATGAAAGCTGATGATGACATACTGCCTCGGCCGATTGCATGGAATGCCACAGTCGACTGGGGAAAATGCAACAGGCTGAACATGCACATCTTTCCCAAAGCAGCTTTGAAAAAAGGAAGCAGGCATTGCTGGCACACATTCATTCACAATGTAGTCTGGGCGCCGGATGTGCTTCATAGAGAAGCACCACGAAAACATTGCCATATTTGCTTCATCAAGAAAGCGGAGAAGATGTCCGCGAGTAGAAAACGGTGTGCAAGTGTTGCCACCAACATCCAGCCACAGTGTGTCCTCGGCTGGAGCTGGATGCCATCTGCATTGTTTCTTGCACCTGTAACAATAAGCTGTGGCCTTGAAAGCTGATGCATTGTTATCCAGAAATCGCAGGGCATACTCCAGGAACTGATCGGATACGCTCTGCCAGACCTTGGCTTTCTTTGCCCCTGTCAAACCCTGCGCCTTTGTTGTGGCCTCTGCAACAAATTGTTTCTGGGCTTGCTCAAGACTGTCCCAGACACGGCGCTCAGCACGATGCAATAAGTTGCCAAACACGTGGGTGCTGTCCAAGAACTGGTGGCAAGTCTCTTGGACTTCGGTGGCAGCATAAAACTCAACATGCATGTTGCAGCCAATGTCTGCAAAAGCTTCCCGTATCATTCTAACTGCAGTTTCTGCCAT